CTAGTGGGTTCTAGAGGGTGCTCTGTTGGGGTTGAGCACTTTCTGTGTTTGCCTCGTTTGACAAGCCCTGGACTGCACTAGACTTTGCCATTGTTTTCCCTCATAGCCAATCTGATTCAGGGGGAATAATATATCTTTGATGTTATAATTTTAAATTATTTAGTTACCAGTAGGGGTAAATATTTTTCATATCCTGATTATCCCATTGCATTTCTTCATTTGTGGCTTTCTTGTTCTTGTTCGTTACTCATTTCTCTCTCCACTGGACCATTGTGGTTTTTGTTTTTGTTTTTTTTTTAGGATTTCTAAGTACTACCTAGAAGTCACCAGCAGAGGGCAGCAGCACACCAGGGTGCTGAGGAAATGGCATTGGACCCTGAACCTTATTTTGCACACAGGTGTTATTTTGCACAAAGGCAGAGCCTGGGTCCCAGGGTGTTTGCATCAGTGGACTCAGAGGGACCTGAGGACAGTCATGATGGTTAATTTCCTACCCACACTGAATTATTCACCTGAAATGGGTTGGTTTGGAACAAGAAGATGACTTTTGAAAGGCCAAGACTGTAAGTCCCAGTGTGGAAAATGAATTGTGTCTGGTAGGAGATAGCCAGGAGCCCTTAGACAAGTCCTTAGACAAGTGGCACTGTGAGTGAGTCCAGGTTGTTGCCAGAGGAAGGGCGTGTGTCTGCATGTGTGCACGCATGTGCATGCAGATGCCTGCCCCATCCTCCAGAAAGGCAGATATAATGCACTTTCATGTATGCCAGCCTCTCTTTGAGCTGTCTTGTTCTGCTCTCAGTCTCACTGGGAAATTGAAGCAGCTTAATAGGGAAGGCCTGATGATGCTGCTGAAATGTGGAATTGTGAAGGGCAGGGGACTCGAGAATGCTGCCTCAGCCTCCTCCCCACTTCACCCCCACCACCCCTGTTCAGGAGCTAGATGAGCAGCAGGGAGATATAAAGACCTGAAATCAAATGCAGAACTGTCAATGCACTTACATATCTTCTTTTAAAAAACCCTTAATTTAATACAGTAGAAGTATTTGCAACAATAGTAGCAACCCCGTCTACCTTTCGCTCAGTTCCCCCAGTGTAAACATCTCCCATAATTTTAGTATAATATCTAAACCAGAAATTGACAGTAATACAATCCAGGCCTTACTCAGATGTGATCTTTACATACATTTGGCATTTGTGTGTGTGTGTGTGTGTGTGACATTGCTGAGCTATGTGAATGGTCCTAAGCCATCATCTTAGGCTATGTGATCAGCGGGAAGTCTGCTTGAGATTCTTTCCCTCTCCCTCTGCTTCTTCCCTTGCTTGTGTGAGCGTGCATTCTCTCTCTCAAATAAATAAAATATTAAAAAAAGAAAACTTGCTACATTTCTCTGCAACATCCATGACTCTGCACGCTTGAGTTCTGGCTTCATTCTCAGGTTGTCTTCCCTCAATATCAACAAAAGCTGTGGCAGTCCTAGACCTTTCATCCTCACTGCATATCACACAGAAGTGAAGGCAGGGAGGGGGATTTCATCCTTCCCTACAGGAGTTGTAAGGTTCATTCTAATTGGACAAGCGTGGGTCAAGTGCCCATCCATCAACAGTCACAGGGCCAAGGGAGTGACATGCAGTGATTGGCTTGTGCCTGGACTCCTTGAACACCTGGAGATAGGAATAATTTATTGGTTTAATCTAAGCTTAAACTGGAGATGAGGTTAGCCTACCCTGACCACATGGGGGAAGGGAGGTGTCTAAAAAGAAATTTGAGGTGCCACTACAGGAGGGAGGGGAAACAGGTGCTGGATAGGAAATAGGAAATAGCAAAGCACAGGAGTGTACTATCTCCAACACAGGGTGTTCCTCTCTGATCCAATCAGCTATGATTAGGTGGACAGGATAATATAGCACAGGCATGTCTACCCAGATAGGGGTGCATAAACGAGGACGAGAGCTGGACAGATACCCTGGGAGGTCTCTACCAGTATTTGTGGTGATTTGTGCCTCGGAGACACTTCTGCAGGTCTCTATATGCCTCAGGACTTTAAGCTGGTTGTGACATCTCTAGCCATCGCCGTTGGCCTGGTACAGGTTTTCAGGGGCCCGGTGGCCACCTACGAGATGCTATGGTTGAGACAGATCTTGCGTTTCAGCTGCATATGCTAAGTAGTGCTTAGGATATATTTAGATAGGAACCCCCACCTCCTATCCCATCTACACTGTGTTCACTGGCTGCCCCTTGTGTCCTCAGTCTGTACAGTGCAGACATCCTTTTCCTGCTCTACTCTCCTTACCACCACCATGAAGTCCACCCAGTCCAAATGGGCACAGAGGTTTTTGGAGAGACTTTCCTGTGGCAGAGTAGCTTCTAGTGCCTCTCAATATCCAGGTTTATGGAAAAGCTCAACATTTCCCAAAGTGTACTATTTGTACCATGGTGCTATGTGACATATGCATCAATTTTTTAACATTCCTTTTCATTGTTTCCAGATTTATTTATTTGGGGAGAGAGTGTGCGCAGGGGGAGGGGCAGAAGGAGAGAGAGTCTTTTTATTATTATTTATTTTTTTATGAGAGACACAGAGAGAGAGAGAGGCAGAGACACAGGCAGAGGGAGAAGCAGGCTCCATGCAGGGAGCCTGATGCCAGACTCGATCCCAGGTCTCTAGGATCACAACCTGGGCTGAAGGCAGTGCTAAATCGCTGAGCCACCAGGGCTGCCTGAAGGAGAGAGAGTCTTAAGCTGACTCTGCTAGAGCCCATTACATTACTCAATCTCATGACCCTGAGATCATGACCCCAGCCAAAACCAAGAGCCACTTAACTGACTGCACCACCCAGGCACCTCAAGATTCCTTTTTAAATAATCTTTTTACTTACAACTCTTTTGAAATAGAGATATAGAAAAATACACAAAGGTGGATCTTAATGAAATACTATGAGGCAAACACCCCAAATGCTCTTGTAACCCAAAAGATGGAATGTTGCAGCCACCCTAGCAGCACTTCCATGTTCCCCACCCAAGTCACAGTTGTACCCTCCCCCAACCCCAAGAGTAACCACTACCTGGTTTCTTTAGTAAACACTTCCTTGCATTTCTTTATAGTTCCAACATCCAAGTATGCATCTCTAGAAATGGTGGTTCAGTCTTGACCACTTTTTAAAAAAGATTTATTTACTTATTTTAGAGAGCACACAAGCGCATGAACAGGAGGGGCAGAGGGAAAGGGAGAGAGAATCTCAAGCAGACTCTGGGCTGAGTGCGGGGCCCCAACGCAGGGCTCTATCCTATGACCCTGAGCCAAAACCAATAGTTAGATGCTTAACTGACTGTGCCACCCAGGCACCCCAGTCTTGCCCACTCTGCAAATATATCTTTACCTCTCTTTAATCTCCAGAGTTTTCTCTCATCCTTTTCTTTTCCTTTAATTTTATCTGTTGAAGAATCCAGGCTCTTGGACCCTAGCGTTTGCCACAGTCTGGGGTTTGTTTGCTGCCCACTCATGGGCAGTTCCATATGCTCTGCTGCCCTTTGTCTTTGCTGCTCATTGTCAACTGGATCTAGAAGATTGATCAGACTCAGCTTTGTCTTTTTGGCAAGACTCTAGGTGGTGATGTGTTCATTAGGGGCCACATAATATTAGGCTGCCTCTCCCTTTGTGGTGTTTGTAGCTATGGATGCTCGTCCCTAGATTCATTAATTCACTGGGGGTCCAAACTGGTGACATAGATTATTTTCATTGTGCTATGATTCACATTTTATTGCTTATTAATTTTGTCATTCCACACAACTTATAAGTAAATAGGCTTTGAGAAAATATCTTGAGAGTGTTAAACAGATGATGGCATCGTTGATGAGACTGTTCCAGTGTTCTACATGAGGTAATGAAAAGAACCACAGCTGCCACCACTACAAGATGATGATATTTTAATTCCATCATTTCTTTTTCATTTATTTGCTGGATTTCTTTATAAACAGATGCTTCCTCTCATGTACCATGAGGTTACCCAGTGGTATAGCTCATGCAGAAGAGGCAGGATAAATGCTTCCTTTATTCCCTATATTTATCAGTTTGCAAAATAATAAGCTGGTTCCTTATTATCCTCTGCAGGTGACCAGTTTTTTCAATATCATCATGAACTCGTGGATTTAAGTAAATTTGGAAAATTTCAATTTGTTGCAATTATTACTATGTTCAAAGCTCAAATTGTCCTGTTATTGGCCAGTGGGAACCTCCGTGGGTTGGTTTCTGTGTTCTTTTGACGTTACCCTAGTCTACATATAGCCTATCCATAATGGCTTATGTGCCATCTTTTATATCAAGATGTTCCAGACTCCCTTTGTGCATTTTCTCCCCTGATCTGCTCTCAGTCATTTCTCCACGCAGCCCTGACTTTTAGTGGGAAATGGCATTTTGTGACCACCATGTGGACTCCAGGGATGCTTATTGCTACGAACTGGTCATTGTTTCCAGGCTGTTTCAATGGATGGAGCTATTAGATATAGATAGAACAATAGATCAAATACCTCATAAGTTCATACTGTTTTTCCAATTAAATTTCAGGACTATGGATTTTTTATTTAATCTTTTAAAAAATTACAGCTCTCTATTCTTTCTTCCACACTGAGAATCTTGATTTTTAGGACACAGGGGATGATAGTTAAGAAAGCTCATAATTACTCATTTGTTTTAGGCAACATTACACACACAACAGGGAATATCAGTACTAATGCTGCTACCAGCAGAATGATAACTGAGAAGAGTTTATTTTTATTTTATTTTATTTTTTTAAAATCTTTTTTTTTAATTTTTTTTTTATTTATGATAGTCACACACAGAGAGAGAGAGGCAGAGACATAGGCAGAGGGAGAAGCAGGCTCCGTGCACCGGGAGCCCGACGTGGGATTCGATCCCAGGTCTCCAGGATCGCGCCCTGGGCCAAAGGCGGGCGCTAAACCACTGCACCACCCAGGGATCCCTGAGAAGAGTTTAAAAGTTCTTGTGCTTGCTCTGGCAGCACATAGACTAAAATTGGAATGGTATGGAGAAGATTAGCAAGGCCCCACACAAGGATGACATGCAAATTTGTGAAGCGTTCCACATTAAAAAAAAGTTTGCACCCCAATGTTCATAGCTTTTCTGTATCCACATCAGTAGAGCTTATAGCCTTTATATGCCATATTCTCTGCTTTTTATTTATTTTTATAAGCTTATTTATAAAAATAAAAAAATTTTAAATTTATTTCTTTGAAAGAGAGAGAGAGAGAGGGAGTGCACGCACACAAGCAGGGTGAGGAACAGAGGGAGAAGCAGACTCCCTGGTGAACAGGGAGCCTGATACAGGGCTGGATCCTGGGATCATGACCTAAGTCAAAGGCAGACACTCAAGGAATGAGCCACCCAAGTGCCCCTATTCTCTGCCTGTTAAACTTCATATAGTTTTAGTTCTACAAGTAACTATGTATTTAATGCTCTCTGCTAGTTCTTGTGCTGATGTAGCTAGTAATTTTGGCAGTCTGAGTCTTGTTCTCTAGTAAATTCTTCAGGAAGTGCTCATGGGAATGATATTCCCTGAGTTCTTGTATCTTGATAACAGTTTGTACCTTTTACACTTGAAAGTCAGTTTCCTTGAATATAAAATCCTTGGCTCACACTTTTGCCTTAGATAGCTCTCACCATTTTTTTTTTCTGACACAAAGAAGTGCTGTTGAAAAGTCTGATGATAATCTAATTTTCTTTCCCTTATAAGTTACTTGTTCTTTTTCATTTCGATGACTAAAAGATTCCCCCTCCCTTAAATATCCAGTAAGTTTACTAAAATGTGTCTTAGCCGTTGCTCACTCTGAGTCAATTTTCTCAAGCATATTGTATTATTTTAATATATATGCATCAGTTATTAATCTATTATGTCTCAGCTTCCAAAACCATTTTCATTGTCTGCTCTGCAATAATGGAGCTGGACCCCATAGCTATTCCTTCTTTGAGAGCTGGCCCAGTGTTAAACTTTGTCAGTAGAGGTGCTGTAGGGGCACTGGAGGAGGAAAGGGTTTCTCTACTTGACTCTAGTGTTCCTCATGCACTGGGCTTATGCAGTGGCTGCAGTGATGGAGCTCTTAGCTTGATCAGAACCTGGTGATCAGTAGCACAGGGCACTACCCATGGGAAGCTTCCCTTGGCATCCTTTTAGGTGGTTTCAGCTTCAGCAAAGTTCACCATCCAGGGAGTCACAGCTATGTCCCCTTCCAAGGTCTTGATATCAGTCCTGAGGAAGGAGGATCTTTTGTTGATTCTTCTGTCTCAGCCCTAGATATAGAGGCTTTTCCCTTTATCTGCTATTTCTGTGTTCTTTAAAGTTCCTTTTATTTTTTATTGGCCATTCCTCCATTATTCCAACCTCCTGTTATAGTCAGTAATCCTTGATAGGAAACTTTCCTGTTCAAATTCCTTTGTAGTTTCTTTTTCTTTTTTCCTTGTGGTTTCTTTTAAATGGATCCTGACTAATGTGATGTAGTATCAAATCTCTCCTGCTCCCCCTTTTGAATTTCAGGGAAGTTTCCTTGAATTTTAGTTTCTAGTATTTGTTCTGTTCCCTTATTGCAAGCTTCATTTTCAGGCACTCCTTTGCCTATTTTATATATTTGTCGTTTTCTTTTGAACTCCTTTATGTATGCCTCTTTTTCTTTCAAAAGGTTTTATTTATTCATGAGAGACACACACAGAGAGGCAGAGACATAGGCAGAGGGAGAAGCAGGATCCCTGCAGGGATCCTGATACAGGACTCGATCCCAGGACCCTGGGATCGTACCCTGAGCTGAAGGCAGACGCTCAACCACTGAGCCAGTCAGGCGTCCCTGTGTGCTTTTCTTTTTTGATTAAAAAAAATTTCTACTTTTCACATCTTATTTCTCATGATGCATCATCTGATTTGCTCTTGTATTTTTTCTAATTTTGTTTTCATACCTAAAATTATTGTCTCTTTTATTTCTTTTTTTTTAATTAAATTTATTTATGATAGCCACACAGAGAGAGAGAGAGAGAGAGGCAGAGACACAGGCAGAGGGAGAAGCAGGCTCCATGCACCGGGAGCCCGACATGGGATTCGATCCCGGGTCTCCAGGATTGTGCCCTGGGCCAAAGGCAGGCACTAAACCGGTGCGCCACCCAGGGATCCCATCACTTCTAATTATGACATTTGTAATATCTTTTTTCTTGACTTGGAATAGTTCACTTTTTGTCCATATGAATGTTATTCTGCTTCTTATCCTCTCTTACACTGTGGGTGGGATTTTTACATTGATACTTTGTGTTCCTCATTTTTTTCATTATGGGAAATTAGTTCTCTGAACTTTTGGAATGAGGTGGCCTGAGGATGATTTCCTAAATTCTGTCATTTCAATACAGTGTTTTTGAAAAAGAATTATTAGAGGTGTGCCTGTGCAGTGCAGTTGGTTAAACACCTGACTTGGTTTCAGCTCAGGTCATGATCTCAGGGTCATGAGATTGATCCCCATGTCAGGCTCCAACGCTTAGTGTGGAGTCTGTTTAAGACTTTCTCCCCCTGTCCTTCCCCCCGCCTTCTTTTATTTTCTCTCTCTAAAATAAATAAATCTTAAAAGAATTATTAGAACTCATAACAAGTCCAACAAGGTTTCAGGATACAAAACTAATATACAAAAGTCAGTTGTATTTCTATATACTTGTACAATCTGCAAATGAAATTAAGAAAACAATTTCATTTACAGTAATGCCCAAAAGAAATGAAATGAATAACTTTGACAACAGAAGTGTAAAACTTACACTTTTTTTTTCTTAAGATGTATTTATCTTGGGAGGGGCAGAGGGAGAGGAAGAGAAAATCCCAAGCTGACTCTGTACTGAGCACAGAGCCTCATGTAGGGCTTGATGATCCCACAACCCCAAAACCATGACATGAGCTGAAACCAAGAGTCAGACGCTCAACTGACTCTGCCACCCAGTTGTCCCAAAAGTATAAAACTTATACTTTTAAAACTACAAAATATTGGGACACCTGGGTGGCTCAGCTCTTTATTAGTGTCTGCCTTCAGCTCACGGTATGATCCTGGGGTTCTAGGATGGAGTCCCACATCGGGTTCCCTACAGGAAGCCTTCTTCTCCCTCTGCCTATGTCTCTGCCTCTCTCTGTGTGTCTCTCATGAATAAATAAAATCTTTAAAAAACCCCTACAAGATATTGTTGAATTTTAAAATTCCAAACAAATGGAAAGATATCCTATGTTCATGGATCAAAATACTTAATATTATTAAAATGGTAATATTCCTCTAATTGATCTGCAGACTCAATGCAGTCTCTGTCAGAATTCCAGCTGGTTCTTTGCAAAAATTGATAAACTGATCCTAAATTTCCTATAGAAACTCAAGAGGCCTAGAAGGACAAAAATATCTTGAAATAGAATCAATTTGGAGAACTTTACAATTTCAAAATTTACTAAAAACACGGTGATTAAGATAATGTGTTAGTGGCATTAAGATAGACATATAGATCAACAGAATAGAATTCAGAGTCCATAAATAAACCTCATATTTGCAGCCAATTGATTTTTGACAAGGATGCCAAGACATGGGGAAAAGAATAATTTGTGTGTGTGTGTGTGTGTGTGTATGTGTGTGTTTTGGTTTGTTTTGCAGATCTGATTGGCTTTATTAAGTGATTTATGAATCACACAGCATCCCATCTAGCAAGTAGAGGGGCACTCCCAGAATAAGGTTTTTAACAAATGATACTGGGACAACTGGATAGCCACATGCAAAAAATTAAAGTTGTATATCTACCTCACACTAGATACAAAATTAACTCCAAATGAGTCATAGACCTAAATATAAGAGCTAAAACTATAAAAATCTCAGAAAAAATAGAGATAAATCTTTGTCTCCTTGGAAACTAAGACAAAAAATAGATAAATTGGACTTCATCAAATTAAAAGCTTTTGTGCTAGAGACACAACAAGAATGTTAAAAGACAATCTATTGAATGGGAGAAAATATTTACAATTATATATCTGATAAGGGACTGGTATCTAGACTATATAGAGAACTCATAACTGAATAACAGACAAATAACTTAATAGAGGTATAATAAGAAAGATACTTGGTTCTTGTTCTCAGTTCTTGGCACAGAGCTCCTAAAACCCTTGGAATTTCCTGAGTGATAAGGATGATAGGAGCGACTTTTTTTTTTTTTTCTAATAAGTTGACCTATCCACCTATAGGTAGCTTCAGGACAGGGTCTGGTTCCCAGAAACACCAAGCCTTGATTAAAAGCTTGGAACTTTCAACCCCACCCCCCCACCCCCAACCTCCAGGGAGGGGAGGGGGCTAGAGATTGAGATAATCATCAATGGCACAGTCATGTTTACATAATGAAACCTCCAGAAGAACCCCTAAATGACAGGGTTCAAGAGCTTCTGAGTAAGATGAACATATCTACATATCAGGAGGGTGATATAGGATAGAGGCTCCAGTGCTCAGGGCTCACTGGGGTTTCCTGAGCTTTATGCATTGTCCTAGTAAATTACTGAACCTGGGGTGGGTGGGAACTGCTGACTTTTAGCCAAATTGGACAGAGTGTAGATAACCTGGGGACACAGTATTTGCAGCTGGCTTCTGAAGTGGGGGCAGTCTTGTACTGAGCTCTTAAACCTGTGGAGCCTGATGCTAACTCTAGGTAGTATTAGAATAAGATTGAATTACTGGGCATCTAGTTGGTGTTGGAGAGTTGGAGAACTGAGGTTGGAAAAGTTACCATGTATCTGGTGTTGAGGGAAAAAATCTTCTCACCAATTAAAAAATAGGCAAAGGATCTGAATAGACATTTTTCAAAGAAGATATACATAGGCCAATACATATGAAAAGATGCCCAACATTGTTTATCAGGGAGATGTGAATCAAAACCACAATGAGATATCACTCTACACCCACTAAAATTGCTATAATCAAAAAGACAGATAATAACAAGTGTTGGTAAGAATGTGGAGAAATTGGAGCCCTGATACACTGCTGGTGGCAATGTAAAATGGCCACTTTGGAAATAGTCTGGTAGTTCCTGAAGAAGTTCAACATAGAGTTACCA